AGCCACCTTTTTAATTCAGCACAATAAAACTTCCTGGCCAGAATGCCAATGAAAAACAGTGAAAGGTGATTTTTCATATGTTCAGTTCCTGGCGGACAAACAGTCGCGCTAAAAATAGCTTTTCAGTGGACTGACTCGCTGTCATAGCAGTCCGATGACTTTCATCTTCCTGCAAAGTCATTAATGAAAGCACTTTCACAAGCTCTGCTGACAATTTATTGCCCTAATAGATAACACAAATGCCTGCCATAAAGACCCCTGTCATTATACTCAAATCACGTAGGTCTTTCAGCGATTGCACATTTGTCTCAATAAAATGCAAAACATCCAACAGTTCAGCACGCTAATGGACTTAGCGTAAGAGGAGACTCATGTAACAAGGGCTAAACTGAGAGTGATCAGTTCTAAGATCATTAATGTTGGGGGGGGGGTCTGTAATCAGCTGTGGCTTTTCATCCTTTATTCTTTCAGTCTCCAGAGAGCTTTATGTTGGACCTATGAAACATTACTGCTCACCCAAAAAATAAATCACCCTCATTTCCTTCCAAACCTGTATTACTTTCTTTCTTCGGTAAAACACAAAAGATATTTTTGTGATAGATAGACGACTATCTCAGTGTTTTGTTTCGTTTTTTTATTCAATGTAAGTCAATGACTTTCTTCAAAATATCTGAACAAAATGTGTGAACTATGCCTTCAAAAAAGACCAAAGTCAATGTTTAGCTAGTCTCAGCCATATAATGACCACCCACAATACATTCACCGACCATCTGATGCATACTGCACACAAAACTTCTGAAAATCATAAGCTCCAATCAGACTGGCGACTGCTAAAAAAAAAAATCAAAGAAATTAATACTTTTATTCATCAAGAATGCATTATGTTGATCAGCAGTAAAGACTAGCAGTTTTATACGTTTATTTTTATTTCAAATAAAGTTTTTTTTTTTTTTTTTTTACTTTCAATTCACCAAACAATCCTGAAAACAATGCATCATAGTTTGCACAAATATATTATGTAGCACAACTGTTTTCAACCTTGATAATAAGAAATGTTTCTTGAACACCAAATCAGCATATAATGATTTGACACTGAAGACTGGAGTAATGGCTGCTGAAAATTCACATTTTTAAATATTCTAACATAGAAAACAGTTATTTTAAATTGGAATAATATTTCATAATACTACTGATTTACTGCATTTTTCAAATCAAATAATTGAGTCTTCGTAAGTATAAAACACTTCTTTCAAAAACAAAAAACAAAAAAAACCTTAACCCCAAACTTTAAAGGGTACTTTATGCAAGCACAACATATTTCGAGTTTTAAGTCACTTTATATCAAGCAAACTAGATATCTAGCTTTATTTTCTGCCTGTGAAATAATCTATATTTATTTATTATCCTTTATTTTACCAGGAATTATCCCATTGAGATATAAATCTCTTCTACCAGGGAGTCCTGGCCAAAATGGCAGCACAGAAAGTTTCAAAGTAGTTAAAATATTAACTACTTTTAGGGAAATAAAAACACTGAACGCCAAGTCTACACACATTTCAACAGTTCAGAGAAACTGTCATCATGGCTTATTCTGAATAAGATTTATTTGAGCCAGCCTATTATTGTGGTATCCATCCATTTCAGAATTACCTGCCCCTAAACACCACAAACTGTGGCTTGCTACATGTCGGTCAGAGGGTCTCTTCCTGTCTAAGTGGGCGTTTCTTGGCCAGAATAAGTCACAAATACTCTGAATACCACAAAACATGAATCTTTCAGATGAACTATCAAATAACCCTATGCATTACTAAAATGTTGTTGATGTTAAAGGGAAAGTTCACCCAAAAATGAATATTCTGTCATCATTTACGCACCCACATGTTATTCCAAACTCATAAGACTTTGGTTAATCTTCGAAATACAAGTTGCAAAGCCTGAGAGTTTTCTGTCCCTCTATTAAAAGTCCAGGTAACCAAAACTTAAAAGATCCAAAAAGTTCATAAAGATGTCATAAAATGAATCCATGTGAATTGAGTGGTTTAATTGCTTAATCTGATGAACAGATTTAATAAACACTTTTAATTTACATCTAAACAATGCTCAACACACATACATAGAGTGAACCAAGAGGTTTGCTCTGTTTATATGGATTCATTTTACAACACTTTTATGACCTTGTTGGATCTTCTATGGTTACCTGGACTTTCAACAGATTTATTAAAATATCAAACCAAAGTCGTATGGGTTTGGAATGACATGAGAGTGAGTAAATGACTGAATTTTCATATCTATTTAAGTCATTCTGATAGGCTTGATGGACAGGAAGGACTATATGCCTTTACAGTAACTGAGGGCTGTAATTTTGCATGCAACCAAGCAGGTGAAATATGGCAATCTACAAATAAAACATGCCTTTTTAAAAGTTTAATGAATTCAGAGAATTGCTACAGTGCGTCTCTAAGAGGCAACTTTGCCCTTGAGAGACTCATCTGAGTGGCCTTTTGGCCTGCAGTATTCAACCAATCAAAGATGAATGTAAAGCTCATGCCAAAAACACAACCTGTAGGTAGATAAACTCAACCTCCTTAAATCAGACCTGCATGAATAGGCCTATAGAAAAATCAGCACACAAAATACATAAAAAACCTATGGCTTTTCGTGTGTAAATAAAGTCTCAAGAGACTTAATCTCAACTCTACAGGCTTATGTTATAAAGATATTAAAAGCAAATCTCTACATCAGTATTAGGCCTATCTATCATGCAAGTCCAATGAAGGTCAGTGGGACATAGATCCAGTCACAATCTTCAGAGGTCAGCATAAATCTAACTTTGGGAGTCACAGCTGTTGGTTAGTTTCTT